CACACAGTAAAGAACAAAAGCAGACCAGAACCTCTCGATCTCCTCAGGCTACATTAACACCATGGTTTGCAGAAACACATACATTAGTTATTTAGTTGTAACCCCTGTGGCAGAATGGAAGCATGAAGTTTATAAACTACAGATGAGGAATTTGCAATTTACCGATCCACTGCCCAAGGATGACATGCTGGATAGGAGGATGCTCTTGCTCTCCTTGAACAGCTGCATTGCCTGCCTCGTTATGCTCTCGTCCAGCCCAAGCTTGCTCTGCTAACCAGCAATCAGAATTCAGAAATTGAGCAAAATATTCAGAAAAACATCACAAGCCAGACAGCAGAGATGAAATTGAACACTGAATGCATCCATATTGTTTCTTACAGGCACCAAAACACCATTCATATTAAATCAAAGGTAAAGTTAGACAGTAAAACCCAAATTATTAGAGCAGAAAAAAGAAAACACGCCATTAAAAAGATCATTCTTTTTATGAAATTTGGTAAATTAGCCACATATACAAAATTTATCACCAGAAGATCATTCAAATACTGGACTCGGAAGTAATCATCGCGAAGATACTATCAACAGGCACCTTTCCATCAAGGATTTTAAAGGGATTGGAGCAAAAGGGAGAGTACAGTAAAACAAAATTTCCAAAATCTACTCGCAAAAAACACCAAACAAGAAGAGGAAAGGTTAGCGCATCCAAAAATTTGTTGCAACAATCCAAATCAATGGCACGAGAAAATAGAATCCCAAAAACAGACAACAAATCTCAGAAAGTTCATAGATTTTCCTCCAAAATAAAGGCGATAACAACTAAGCGAGAACCCAATCCAACATAAATTTGGAGAAAACTCCAAATTAAACAACAAATCTACTGGAAAAAGGTGTACCACCCATCATTCTTCACTCAGAAGCATTCATCTAAATTGTAATCACCAGGGTAAAGAAAAAAAAAAGCAGCAGACACTGTACAGAAGAGACAACCACACGAAGGCCGCACCAGATGAGGGGCCGTACCTTGCACAGATCGGCGAACCGCTCCTCCATGGCGGCGCCGCCGCCAGCGTCCACCTTCCCCGAGCCCGCACCCGTCACCTCCGACCCGGAGCTCGCTGGCGGCGCGGCACCCTCCATGCCCCGTCAAGAACACCACCAACCAACCAAACTCCCCCCAAAAAAAACCAGAGTCTCTCCCGCGAGCGGCGGTGGGAGGAGACGACGAACGAGCCCTCCTGCCTGCGCTGCCTGCAGCTAGGGTTGCGCTCGCCTGCGCGGTGGAGATGGAGATGGAGATGGAGATTGGAGCGAAGAGGGCGGCGTTTGGTTGGAATGCGCGCCAAAAAAAAATCCTAGTTCCGCGCGGCGCGCGCGCTGCCGTTTTTTATCTCTCTCGCGGGTGGCTTGCGCGGCAAAACGAGAACTGCCGTGTCACTGAGCGGTGGGGCCATGAGGGTGACACGTGGCGATGGGCGGGCGGGGATTGGTTGGTTTTGGCGGGAGAGGGGTGGGAAATGGCGGGAGATTTGGGTGGCAAAGCGGCGGGGCCCGGGGGGAGTCAGAGGATGGGTCCCGCTTTGCAGGAGGGCGGCGTGGCTTGTCGGGATCCGTAGCCACGTGCGGCGCCTTTGACGGATGCAGTGCATAGTGCAGATGCGTCCAAGTAAAAAAAGATGATGATATGATTAAAAAACAATTTGCACCGGTAAAATGTAGTACAGTACATCGGTTTTAACACATTTTCAATTTATATTGAATAAATTTCACTTAACAAATGATGCATAATCAAAGTATAGAAGATTTTCTGTCTACGAAAATAGAAATTTCATACAAATTTAAATGAAAATTTTATCTAAATTGACTCGTAACTTTCATTATATTTTATAAGATTTTCCTCCCATTATAAAATATAATATTAAACTTATGTCCAAAAATCTAACTGCTTCAAATATAAAAGAAAAAAGTTGACATACATTCCTAAACTCTATATGAAAGTCAACCCTAAACTTTAAAATAGTCATCCAACTCCCTAAACTCAAAATATAACAACTTTTGGCTATGAATCTGGACATATACTTGTCTAGATTCATAGCTAAAAATGCTTATATTTTAGGACGGAGAGAGTAACCCTGTTTATTGTAAAGTTTAAGGGAGTGGATGTCCGATTTTAAGCTCAGAGTGCTAGGCAAACCAAGTTTTGATGGCTGTTTGGACTTTTTCTAATACTACTCGTACCTCATTGCATAAATATATGACCAACGTGTAACAAGGTGTCGTGTGCCGTAGAAGGAACAGGAAGAAAGAGACGACAAGACGTGGACACGGCAGCGGGCCGCCGGCGACGATCGCCGCCGGTGCACTCAACCAAGGCTGTGTTTAGATCTAAAATTTGGATCCAAACTTCAGTACTTTTCCATCACATCAACCTATCATACACACAACTTTTCAGTCACATCATCTTTAATTTCAACCAAAATCTAAACTTTGTGCTGAACTAGAAACAGCCTTAAGGAGAGAATCCAGTACGGCGTGCAGTGGCAGCGTCACGTCGCGTACACGACGACACGACTCACGCCATCGGATTCTTCTCTTCTGGACTTGCCCGCCTTTGCTTTCATTGGTCCAGTAGTACTCCAGTCTCTTCTCTATCCATTGGATACTTCAGGAGAATGGAAGCTAGTCCTAGTTCGGTCACTGATGCCAAATAGAGTACCACCAGCAGCAGAACATTCTCAGACACACGTTATCATCAGTACTGTACTATTACATCTCACTACTGATAATAATCCACTGGGTGAAATTCAACCATGCTGTCCTTACGAGTACAAGTATGTCGGGTAGGAGGAGTAATTGTTTCAGAAATGGAATCCAAATGGTCACAAGAGTTCTGAACCATTAACTTTTAGCTTAGTTTGTAATTTGGAGCATATGTTAGTTAAATATACCCTCTGATGACTGTATCAAACTACCACCAAAATGTTTCTGCGTTTGTTCAGGTCACAAGCAAATTAATATACAGGACGAACACGGATTCAGGGTTCAGTTGGTGGATCCCTGGGTTCTGTGCGGCTAGGTTGTTCCAGGTAAAGCTGCATCTTCACAGGATCACAGCTCATGGACTTGATTGGGGTTATCTGTGGAGGCTGCATCCACTGTTTGGTGTCTGTAGGGATCCACAGCTGAGCTTCCTTCTCACCATCTGGAGGGAGGGATCGGAAGTATGCAGCGATCTCCCAGCTGCCATCTATCACCAATTCAGAATGCAAGCATCTCTTGAGAGATCTTCTAGTAGCATGGTTCCCCTTTCTAGCAAAATATGGAGATAGTATGGAAAAATAAGGGTGATGTAGATTGAGTACCTGATGGAAGGGTTCTAGTAAGGGGTTCAGCAACAGCCAGTTTGATCAAGAAAGCTCGCAGAGCGAATTCCAGGCTGGCCTCCTCTATCTTGGAGCCATAAGATTGGTTAACTGCAAGCTTGAACACAAACTTCTCAACTGGCACATGCGCTTTGTCGTAGAAGATGACTACAACCCTCTCAACCAATCCCTGGATTGTTGTGAGAAAATTATGGTTATTCACTAGTTGGAAAAGAAAAAGAATCAGCACAAATTATTTCTAAAATGCTCTTCACATGAACACCAAGAGACTGTTCGATACTGTAACTCAGGTTTGAAATAAGCTCACAAAATTGTTGCCATACTTCCCTCCGCACATGACAGAAACTAGACCAAACTCCAAGAATATGCATAATGAGTTAAGGTAGAACTATGAGATCCATACATTAGCAAGTTTCCCTATTATTCTCATAAATTGCAATGAGTTGTGATAACCAATCAGCCAATGCGATATAAAAAGGTATAATCAACACCACCACAGTGTGCACAAGGAAAATCTCAAGTCTGTCAGACAGGATACATAGTATACTGCATAATTGCGTTTGCATTAACCAAAATGAATTCAATATTTAGGGAATGCCTAAATCTTCCCATGTTGTACCCGCATGACCACAACCTAGAAATAAGCTAGTTCAGGAAATGCAACAACGAGGAACAATTATTTAGAGGAGGAACCTTCTGAATGAAAGGGAGTAGGCCAGAAGTAGCAGAGTGGATATAACCGGCAAGTTGGGGGTGCACTGCTTTCTGGACCACTACATTCATATACCTTCTCCTCTCAAATGCACCTACAGATAGTCAGATACATTATGTTTAATCGAACTGTGCCTTTACAGATAGCAAATATTGACAAACAAGCTGAAATAAGTACAAAATAGGAGTAATTCTTACGAGGAGGATAGAAGCCTTTGAGGAAGACAACACAACTGACAGCTACCTCTAGAAAATCCACAATCACTTGTGCTATTTGACCTATTAAGCCAACCAAGCTTTTAGCAGAGAGGACAAAAGGCATTCCTTAAAAAAATCAACCTAACTTCAGGAACCACTGGTATAACTATTTGTAAGCATTTGTGCTTTTTACCTTGTGGAGTTTGATTTTTCCTGTCCATATGGTTCAGTTCAGGCGAATTCTGGTTTGTCACAAACTTCTATTGATTTATGCCCCTATGATTGGCATAATCCACCAGCCAGAGGGCATATTTGAAACTGCACCAGATGATTCAAAGCATAGAAAGAAGAGTTCAATTCTAAATCAAAAGATCATTAGATAAAGAGCAAATGAAAAGGAACAAGCAAATGGCAATAGCTATATTGAGTGTTTGTATACGATGAGAGCTTGCTAGTTTCATTTAGCCCTTGCAGCACATCAGACTCCCAGTCAACAATAATGACTATTATGTAGGGCCTACCATATTTTGCAAAACATGAAACATGAAAAAATGACATTCACACTTCTCACCGATAGTAGAACGAAACTATGGCCAACATATCATCTTATCAGTCAAGTGAGTATACATGAAATGGTTTTGCAAGGCAAGATTCAAAAAACTGGAAGGACAACACAAGTCGCAGAGCTGAGATTCATCTCGCCAATCACTGTAAAAAACAGATATCCCTAACTCTCTGTTTAATGGTTAGTAAGAATACATGATTGAGGAACAGCTACAGAGTTGCCTACTACAAATAACTGTTCCGCTAACTAGTTTTCACTTCTCATTGAAACACCTTTAGTAATTGTAGGTGGTAGTAAACTATACACAAAAAAGGGAGTAAATGCAAATGCAATATCCTGGGGCTACATTATGAAAAGGAAATATTTTCAGAAATTGTGGCCAACAGAACCACATTAAGTATATTCCCTTCAGTGGTAGTTGCAACACTGTAAAGAACCTGGAAAAGGAAAAATTCTCAACTTGGAGGGAAATGCAAAAGTAAAGACAAATTTTCAATTTCATCATTCCATAAGCTGATAAAAAAAACCACAGCATTGTACATTTGAAATGGATATATTTGGTTGATATGGAACTCCTAAGCTTTTACATTAGGAAGGACTCCGCCACTAGTAGCTCATTGATCCCAAAAAGAGTGTTGCATATAGCTTCTGTCTCAAAATGAGACTCATCTCCCGCAAAGAATTCATGTATGCAGCCATCGACTTCAATGAAAGAGCAACCGGGCTTCTTACTTGTCCTACTATTGCCCATCCCTGTCCGCACATTATTCACATCAACCCATCTTAATGTGGTAGCATATACATTAGAGAGTAAAACATGCCCTCCACACCTTTTTGGTTCCAACTGTTCAATTCTTTCTGCTGCATATTCTGCAAGCCCCACTTGTCCAGAAGCTCTACAGGCAAACAACAATGACCGCCATACTACCACATCAGGAGCGACAGGCATATCTTTAATGAATTGCTCTGCCTCTGCCAACAGCTTGGCACGTCCCAAAAGGTCGACCATGCATCCATAGTGTTCGATTCTTGGCACAAGGTTGTAGACCTTGGACATGCGATGGAAGTGATGGTACCCCTGTTCCACTAAACCTCCATGGCTGCAAGCAGTTAGCACACCCAAAAAAATGACCTCATTCGGCATAACCTTATCTTCTCCTTCCATCTGTGCAAACAAATCTAGTGCCTCAACGCAGAGACCATTCATAGCAAAGCCCATTATCATTACTGTCCAAGTAAACACATCCCGCTTTGTCAATCCATGAAATATCTGATAGGCCTTGTTTACATCCCCGCACTTCGAGTACATATCAATCAACGAATTTTTCACAGAAAGCTCTTTCCCTAAACCATGACCATCACAATAAGCATGGAGATACCGTCCCAAGTCAAGTGCTCCCATCTGGCCACATGATGATACAACAGTAGCAATTGTAGCGTCATCAGCCTTCACACCAGCAATTTGCATGTCCCTAAACAGATCAACAGCCTCTTTAAACCTACCAGATTGTGTACATCCAGCAATCATTGAGGTCCAGCAAACTACATTCCTTTCAGGCATTCTATTAAAAACCCTGCGAGCTTCCTCAACCATACCACACTTTGCATACATACTAACCAAAGAGGATCCAATATAACAATTTATCTCAAACCCATTCAGCACAACTAGAGCATGACAAAGGCTCCCAACCTTCATTGCGCCTGTCCTTGCACAAGCAACCAGCACATTTAACAGAGTGACCTCGTCCAGCCTAACTTGCTCTTTGGCCATTTGGTGAAAAGATTGCAACGCCTTATTAGGCATACCACCTCGTATGTATCCAGCAATGATTGTGTTCCAAGAAACTACGTCAGAGGCCCATCGTGGAGCAGAATCAAGAACTAACCTTGCAGAAGCTGGATAATTACAAGATGAGTACATGTTGATAAGGGCATTAAGGACAAATGAATCTGAAGCTAGGCTGAGTTTCAAAGAAAGGGCATGAAACTGGGAGCCAACATCAAGTGATGGGACGCGAGCGGCAGCAGAGATGGCAATGTTGAGGGAGTAGTTATCAAGTGTCATGTTGGCAAAACGGCGAAGTAGGGAGAGGAAGGAGAAAGAGAGTGATGGGATAGGCCCCAAATAGAGGGAACGGAGGACAGAGTGGACCAGCGGTAGCTTAAGGAGAAGACCCGAGACGGTTGCTCGGGAGAGGAGAATGGGGAGATGATGGTGTGAGAGAGATGAGACCGGGACAGAGAGGATACATTTGTTTTCAGTGTGCGAGCTTCTGAGAGTGGAGAAATATCGTGTCTTCCCATTGAGAATCCGAGAAGATAAGCACATTTAAACACTCTAAATGGAGCTGATTTGAGGGCAACAGAATGGGGGCAGTGGTGTTATACTGCAGCTAAGATATTATTGGAATATCGTAAACTGTTGTCCGACATCAAAACCTACATGGAAAAGGAACCTGCCATAAGAGATAATTTCTTGTGTATGGGCTTGTCACTTATGTACAAGAATGAAGAAGAAATTATGCAGCTTGGAATGATCTTTGATAAACAAATATTGTAATTTGTATTGGTGAAGTAACATTCTAGCAATACAAAGACCCCCAATATGCATATGCCGGCCAGCTCAAGGGAGTCAGCGGGTATTCTGTTTGCATCCTTGAATCCTTGGTCTTCCATTATATTTGAAGAAAGTTAAATAAAACAAAACTATCAAGGTAATGAGGATTCAGCAGAAGCCTAATTATTTTATATACTCCCTCCTTCCCTAAATGTTTAACGCCGTTGACTTTTTAAAATATGTTTGACCGTTCGTCTTATTCAAAAACTTTTGTGAAATGTGTAAAACTATATGTATACATAAAAGTATATTTAACAATAAATCAAATGATAGGAAAAGAATTAATAATTACCTAAATTTTTTGAATAAGACGAACGGTCAAATATTTTTTAAAAAGTCAACAGCGTCAAACATTTTGGGATGGAGGGAGTATTATTTATTTAGTTTGGAAACACACATGCTATTTGTACTAACAGCATCACCACGCACCAATGAAATCCAACAGAAACTAGATGTGTGCGCTGGAGGGAACGAGATTAAGGGAACCAGTCCAAGTTCGGACGGATTTCCAATCTATGTCACGCCGCCTCATCAGTCATCAAGCGCGCGCGGAGGAGGGAGGTGGCTACGAGAGAAGAGAAAACAATAATGAATACCTTGCAGACGGAGGAGGAGGTCGACCGGCCGCGTCACGTCAACCCCTCGCCGGCCCGGCCGTGCGCGCGAGGGGGGCAGGCCGCACAGAGGAGGAGGAGGAGGATAGGGCGGGGTCGCGATGCGGGGAGGCGGCTCGTCGTCCTTGTCGCCGGCGGCGCGCTCTCCGGGGAACCTCTTGCTTTTGTGGAAGGAAGAAGAAGACCATCTGGTGGCTGGGCCGGCTCAGGTTCACCTCATCATGGGCTGCCTGAACACGTGCGCTTACATGGGCTAGGCTAGGCTGGCATATACCCTCCTTACGGCCCGGCACGAGTTACAGCCCGTCCACGAGGCCTCCCCATCCGGCTCTCTTCCTTTTCTCAAAGGAATAAGATCACCTTGACTCCCTCAACTTACCACCGAATCTAAATCGTATCCCTCAACCGCAATACCAGAAATCACTCCCCAAACTTACAAAACCGGTGTAATTTGACTCACTGGGCGGTTTTGGGAGACGGTTTTACTGACGTGGCGCCTACGTGGCAATATTGACCGAGTCTTCGTTCCATGTGGCGATGACGTGGCACCTATGTGGCAGTAGAATTAAAAAATATGCGTGGGACCCATTAGTCATTCAAAAAAAGAAATGTGGGCCCACTGACATGTGGGGCCCACATGTCAGTCCTCCTTCCTCCTCCCTCCCTCCCTCCTCTCTCTTTCTCTCCCCTTCTTCCCCTTCGCCGCCGCTCCCACCTCCACCGCCGCCGCTCCCTACCACCGGCGAGCTCCAGCCCCTCCCCCGCGCACAGACGGCCGGCGAGCCCCTCCCCCGCGCGCGGACGGCGGCGAGCCCCTCCCCCGCGCGCGGACGGCCGGCGAGCCCCTCCCCCGCGCGCGGACGGCGGCGAGCCCCTCCCCCGCGCGCGGACGGCGGGTGAGCCTCTCCCCCGCTCGCGGACGGCCGGCGAGCCCCTCCCCCGCGGGCTGACGGCCGGCGAGCTTCTCCCCCGCGCGCGGACGGCCAGCGAGCCCCTCCCCCACGCGTCGACGGCCAGCGAGCCCCTCCCCACGCGCGGACGGCCGGCGAGCACCTCCCCCGCGCGCCGACGGCCGGCGAGTTCCTCCCCCGTGCGCTATCGTCGTCGCCGCCGCCACGACGCCTCAGCGCATGGCCGCCTCCCCCGCGAGTCCCTCTACTGGGCCGCCTCCTCGTCGCCGTCGTCGTCGACCCCCCACTCCCTCCGCACCTACTGCCTCCTCGTCCACCTCCTCTCCCGCACCGCCGGATGCCGCCGCCGCTCGCTCTCGCTGTCCCCGCACGCCACCGGCCGAAGGGGAAGAAGGGGAGAGAAAGAGAGAGAAGGGAGAGAGGGAGGAGGAAGGTCTGTCAGTGGGCCCACATTTCTTTTTGTGTGAATGACTAATGGGTCCCACGCATATTTTTTATTTCTACCGCCACGTAGGTGCCACGTCATCGCCACGTGGAACGAAGACTCGGTCAATATTGCCACGTAGGCGCCACGTGGCACCACGTCAGCAAAACCACCTCCCAAAACCGCCCAGGGAGTTAAATTGCACCGGTTTTGTAAGTTTGGGGAGTCAAGATTTCTGATATTACGGTTGAGGGATACGATTTAGATTCGGTGGTCAGTTGAGGGAGTCAAAGTGATCTTATTCCTTTCTCAAAAAGAGAGAGGGAGTAAATTTCATAAAACCCCACCTATTATGCCTAGATAGGTATTATGGTTGTAAAGTTTCACGAAAGAACATTATCGATAATTTCACATTTGTTAGTTCTACAATCACATCTCAATTTTTTAAGTTTTTTATCCATTGTATAAATGCTACGTCCACTTTGTCAAATTTTGATATAAGACTATGTCAAAAGTCAAAATGGATAATGGTGTGGTTTTCGTGAAACTTTAGGACCATAACACCCGGAGTTACATGACACGTTCCAAAATTTCATGTGGTAACCTAGACCTTGGATCTATGCCACTACAAATATGCTATTTTAGATAAATACCACTACTATTCACGATGTCGGCTACGTGCCACTGGAATTTGAGTAAATTGGAACCATGCCACTCCATCGCGTTTTCCTCAAAAGTCTCCGTAGCCTCAACTATACGTGGAGAAGAAAGAAGAGGGAGGATGGAGAAAGATGGAACTGACATGTTGGTTCCACGTCTAGGGGTCTGACGAAAAACGCGACGGAGTGGCATGGTTCAGTTTCCTCAAATTCCAGTGGCACGTAGCCGATATCTTGAATAGTAGTGTTATTTATCTAAAATGGCATATTTTTAGTGGCAATGAGCAAGAGCCAAGAGCATACAAGAAGTAGTAATTGAAAGGGATAAATAAGACAAAACAAGAACAATTTAACAGCAGCATATTGACATATATCTATCCAAAGACAAAACTGCAAGCTACGCTGGAAATCGAATTTCTGGAGCAAGTCGCCTCAACAATGTAAATAATCTGCCTTTAAAATTTTCTTTTACAGAACAAAACTTCAAATGCAGTTTTTGTCAGACTGGTTGAAGAATACCTCTGCAAAATACATTGTTTTTTAGGACTGTCAAACTGGTTGAAGACAACCTTTGCAAGTTGCAACAAGTCCAGAGTTCTTCCAAACCACATGGCAGAAGGATGGTGATGAGATAACAAATTAACAATAGCTAGTAATCTAATGAACAAATCTGAGTGCACACGGCATTCTTTTTGTTCATCTTTTGGAAAATCAGTTGCTGAGAAAATCTTTATGCAAAGGAGCATCCTCTTCCTCTGCCTCAAAGTCCTCCTCTTGGAGACCTTTGAGGGAGAAGAAGATGAAGTCCTTGAATATCACTTGATGGTTCTTGTCTGATAAGAAGCCATGCAAATGCCTGGGTTTATAAAGGCCACAAAGGATGCTAATGGATTCTCCAAATCAGGTGAGTCATCTCTTCAAATCAGAGAGATGTTCATATTCTTTTACATCCTTGTCCAAGTTGCACCAGCTGGAGTCTCTTACTTTAGGAGCTTGGACTTTGGACAGCACAAAGAATATTTATCTTGTAGAGGCAGTATAGCATAATTAGTGAGCAGTGATGAGTGATCTAAAGTTCGGTGGTGAATGCTTCATCTCTTCTTCACAGTATTTTAGAGAAGATAATATGGAAGGTGCAAGATGATAGTTTGCATATAACATGTTTACATTATAATAAAATCTTCATCCAGAACACTAAATCAGAATTATCTTGTGTTTTGTTATAGAAAAGTGCACTAACATGCAGCCGGAGCCTGCATCACTAAAGCTGAGGCTGTGAGGCATGAGGGAAAACCATGTATAGGTAATATCTGTGAAAGTAACTACAAAAGATTTGGATAAGTAGCTTTCAGATAACAGTTGCATGAGGCATCCAAGAAAGTTAATGCTTTTGGAGATTCTGCAAAATCTTCAGGCTGGTTGCTGTCACAAAGTTGACCCTGGCAAGGAGCAAAGAGCCAAGAGCATACAAGTAGCAGCAAAGCAAATCCTTGCATGGAACAGGAAAGGCCATGAACCATAGTCTAATTTGACATTCTCACATTCCTCTGCATACTTCACGTGTCTAACAATGACAACCACATAAGTTGCGAATATATTGATATGTTGCTGTGAGAATGTGTTAATGAGACTATGCAGTTCAACTACAAATTTGAAATTCTTTCTTTTTGTTGTTACCTAGTTGATGCAAGATATTATCAAGGGAAATGGGTAGAGGAAATTTGATCAATAGAATACACTACGCTGATCAATGTTCCTGGCTATGACTTCAACACAAATTCAGTAGCACACTGCCAAATATACAGCACAGCAGATGGACTCACAGTACATAGACCCAGCATTCCAGAAGTACAGCAAAACCTTTGGCTTCAATGCTTCACCATGTCTGTATTGTTAAACACTAACCACTTGATATACAAACAACACCAGTTACTCATGACCGAAAATTTGGCTGGAAATTTCAGCCGAGAAAACTATTATATCATCTAACATTTGTCCTACTTTTCTTTCCTCCCAAGATTTTGCCACTTTTAGGTGAGGTTCTGAAGGTTATAGAAGGATTGGGAGGAATGCGCTATGGGTTATGACTTGTACGTTGCTCAATCTTCTTCCTCTCAGTGAACCTTTGTTCCAGGCCAAACTCTTCAGCAAATGCTTCTATGTCGGTTGCAATTTCAGAGCAGCCCTTTCGACCGACAATATGTGGGGGTTCAGTGCCGCATCGCTCCAGCCCCATAGCACTGCCGATTTGGCTGTGTAAGTCTTCCAGTTCCTCCATGGCCACAGTTTGCCTTTTCATTCCCATCTCGAGGTCCACACTCATCTTCGGCGGACTTAGTGCCCGCCCCATACCGAGTGATGAGGGGAAGGTGGCAGAATCTTCCTTTACTTTTGCCCTGAAGTTGTTTCTGGAGCTGGGGATTCTTGAACACAGGATCTCAATGAAATTCTGGACCAGTCCACGGTTATGAGGATTCGTTTTCCTATCGTAGCGGTATCGGAAGTTCTCATAAGTTGTCTGCAATTATTAATATTGGATGAGCATTGAATACGGTAGCTTGTACATAAATTGTAAATAAAACTAATTTGTGCATCTACTGAAGAAACACTGACCTGATTGGTAGAAATCAAGTAGAGGTGGAATGAGGTCAACCCTCCAACAAACCACACAGCAATAAATGTGTACAAGATGAGAATGCCAGAGACAGGAGATTTCATGATAGCTCTCCCTAATTTGCATCTATGTGTGTCCATTATTATCCTGAGATCGACCCAACAGAATGCAAACACATATACGCATAGTAAAGTTGTTGAAGACACAAACATAAAGAAGAATCGGTAGTTTCTCTGCAAGATAATCAAAAGGCATAATTAGTAGAATAATGCATGATTATTACTAGTATTTTGTAGCAGACCAATACACCCTAAACATTACGAGAAAATAATACAGCTAGTGATCTCGTTGACACAAAGTAATATATACCTTTCCAATGCATTGGCCTACCCAAGGGCAGTGGTGATCAAAACGTTCAACACAGTTGTTGCAGATTGAGCAATGGGAGCACCTTGGTGGACGATATAGCATACATGTATGGCAATATTTGACCTTGACTAAAACACCATTAACAAGAACATCTTTGGTGAGAGGTAAACCCGTCGAACCATGTTGACCACCTGGCCACTCTGATAAGTTGGAGGATTCACCAACATCTTCAGGTTCTGGTGGATGAGCATTTCGAGGAATAATTCCAGGATCCCGGCCAGATGTGAGAAGCAGAAGGACAATAATCTGCACATAAGAGCAACAGTAGATTGGTTATATTGCCAAATTACAGACGCAGCTGCCATCCTGCTTCCCATAAATATACAATTAATATGACCTTCTATCCTAGTGCCCTATGGATTGCGTTATCCTAAACATGGTGAAAAAAAATGCAAAGGAGTGATGCTCCTAGAGGATGACATGACAAGATATTCTTAAGAAAGATTTGTAACATATGACAAGAATGTGATTATTATCATGGTGCATCAGCATGGCTGTGGTAGGCCTATGAGAGATGACTTTAAATTTCTGAAAAGGAATAAAAACGATCTATAATGGTTGTGTAGTTGACTGTATGTACTTGTCTCACAAACTTACATATGCTGTAAAGATGATAGCTACTGATGCAACCCAACCTCCAATTTGGTTGTGGTACTCATGGTCAAGCTGTCCAGAAATAACAGCAGCAAAGAGGATCACTGGAATTACAATTAAACACACTGTGAGTATGAGTGACCTCACATCAGGCCCAAAAATAAGTCTCCCTCCAAGGAAAAATATCTGCAAGAACAAACAAAGAACACATGAGTTCTTTTCCTATAGAAGCATTAAGAAGAAGACCATAACCATAAAAAGCTAAAAAGAGAATATAGTTATCAATTAAACTCCAATTTCCACTTGTAGTTAATAAGAACTGCATTTATAATCTTAGTAATGAATCTAATAAGCCCATGCTAGTACATAAAGAGAACAAAAATAGATGAGTTTATTAACCTGAAAACGTATGAATATGCCAGTGTCCGGGTTAGGAAAATATGCATCAGTTCAAGTTTATAAAAAGAACTCCTCTGAAGTTTCGATTTCTACTTCTCACTCATTTTGTGTAGCCAATAAATATCATATATATACAACAGAGCTCCAATTGTTGATGTGTTTATAAAGAAGATGCATAAATGCATCAATGCCTACCATCTATCACTCTCAGTATGACAGTCTCCATGAGAACGAAACATCTCATGTATGTCATGGTACTTGACAGAATGACAGCACACATCAACAAACACCTAAACAGTTGACACACACATGTCTTCTGTACCTTAACCCTTTATGACACCTAGTATCCACACCATTATGACCACTTGACCAAATTCTCAGATACCATTATTAACACCATCATACCAGTCAAACACTCAACAGAGTCACAGAAAACATGGATTTATCTCCCCCTTAATTCACCAAATTTATCATAAATTTGCAGAATCACAAACCAATAAAGAGTATAATAAGCAAGAAGTTCCTTACATTGCTCCCCTTCCACCCCTGGTACACCCGCCGCGGCGGCGCGTCGGCGTCCATGATCCGCCGGTTGGAATCCGACAGTGGCGCCTTCCCCTGCATCCTCCCTTCCATCTCCACACCTGCAAAGACTGTCCCCAAGAACCCCCCACAAGCTCACCAAAGCAGCCTCATCGAACTCGCAAAACCCCAAATCTTCAGCGTCCCAAAGCCAAAACCCAGGTCACGAGAAAACCTCAAATATTCCGAGATTTGACGAAATGGGCACCCACCCCACCACCTGCAAGATCAAGAATCAGGCGGCTCTCACGGATCCCAGCAAGAGAGGAGATGCATCGAACGAGTCGGCGTGAGACGGCGAGGCCTACCTGGAGAACAGGGTCCGCTTCTCCGGAAGCAATGGGGGACGAGAGCTCGAGAGCTGGAGGCGGCGAGAGGATCGGCGGCGCGTGGTGGTGATGTCACCTTGGGATCGCAAGAAGGAAGAAGCCAAAGACAAGAGTTTTGAAGGGGAGTGGAATGATTTCCACTGGTTCTGAATTTCTGAAGACTGAACTGAACTGACTCTTTTTCATTTCAACCCCCCAAAAACTATCTATTTCTGCATGATAGATTTCTAGGAGCCGTTTGCAGTAAATTATTTGCATTTTCATCCTCAAGAAATGGTAAAGTAGTGCTTGCAAGCGTGCAGGAGAAAAAAGATGGAAGGAACCTGAGTTGGAAAAGACATAGGAAGATAGTAAGCTGCTAAAAAAAGGCTGCAAACTTGTTGGCCTCCATGAGGACATGAACTCAGAGCAGTGTGTTTAAAGGCAAAGGGAACAAGCTTTGGTTGCAGTGCAAGTTGCATTGCACACCATCATCCAACCCAATTTGATAGATCATACTATTATATGATGCCACTAGGAAAATATTACTCCCTCAGATTATGAATGTTGTTTTCACCTTCTCAATTCTTTTGCTAAATGCAAGTTATTTTGGGACTTCCAGTCTTCCAGGCACTTTTGCAACTATTATTTCATACTATTTGACATTGTTAAATAAATGCTACCTCTCTCACGAATAAATGACACTTTATTTTTAATGCGATATATATAAAAGAAAATCCGACTCTATTATTTCATATTTGACCTTGCTAAATAAATGCTACCCCTCACAAATAAATGGTGCGTCGAAAAGATATGATATAATAAATGAAGCAAATTTGAGTCATTTGAGTGGTTTCCTTAATTTACGCGCACAAGTCTAAAACGATTGGTATTTACAATCAAAGTGAGTACCAAACTTTGTTTTTCATTACACTTAGGTTCATTTTCCATTACATTACTCACCTTTCACACTTTAATTCAAACCTCTACAGAGGGAGGGAAAAAAAAGGAAGACAAAAGCATAGTCAAAAGTATCATCAGTCAAGTGCTCTTTCTTGCAACAAGTGCCGTGGTTATCGGCTAGTGGACATTGTGTTTTAGTACTATTGTATAATGCTCGGAATGAACAGGACAAAAGTAAGATTTCTGTCCATCTATGATGAATTGCCTGCAGGAACAGAAGCTATGACTGATAAGCCGTTGAAAAATGAATGATGCAACCAAAAAAAGTTCAAATAAAAAAATTTATATATACTGTTAGCAATTTAAAAGCTAAGGTTGAAAAAGAAAGTGACTAAGATAAGTTTTAAAATCAACTCTATTAAGTTTTAAAATTCAAATTTTAGTTACGGCTGATAAGCCAACGAATACATAAGAAATGAGTAGCAAAGGCCTTCTCTTGCTACCACAATCCACAATTCCACATATGGATTGGCTGAATGAACCACAATGTCCAAGATGTTATAGATAGTTCTCTTTTTGAACTATTCTTTTCTTTTTTTGAGAGGTGGCGTGGACAAATTAAGCTGGTGAAAGTGCAGGTTGCCATTGTTAAGGGAGAATTGAGTGTCTATAGTGCTAATGCTTTTTGATTAATAAGTCTTATTTCTTTCTGGAAAGCCTAACAGGCACTTGAAAGAAGGGCAATGACCAGGAAACAGTGAACATATGTTATTGCTAAATGAGCATTGGTCATTTTGTAGAACAACAAAACTAGGCCTGCCTGGAAAGACCAAAATAAAGAAAACAGATGTTTTGTATCCTCCATATGATGTTTCTTTAGATAGAGATCTCTATGATCCAGCTTTGAGAAGAAATCTAAACAGAGTTCTTACAGAAAAGGGAAAACAAACACATGTTAGTTCCAACATCTAAGCATGTATTTAGAGATTACTTGAATAGTCACAGCATAATATAGCTCTCTAAGTACATAAATCTGCATGATAATTGTTCATACAAATTGTGGTACTCATCCTAAAAGGAACAAGACCACATGCTCAAACCATTTTAGGTGAAAAATGTTCTCAAAATGCCCAAAATATTTGTCTTTGGGTCAGTAGTCAGCACAACTGCTTTAAATACGTGTAGAAAAAACATCATGCTACTTAGCAAGGAAGTACCCGAGTAGATTATTGTAACCACTTCCTTTCACCTTTTTTCCTTTACAGCTGAAGAACTTGATCTGCTCTATCTCATTCGACAAACGTACACATGCAGGGAACTCTTTGTCGTACAAGCATTTGCAACTCTTCCCCCTTTCCATGCATCATCATCATCATCTCCAAAGTAGAAGATATATCATCACCAACTTGATCCAAATCAGAAGCCAAAAATTTTTAGATAATAGAAATGAGTTACATCTCCGGCCTCTGCCAATGGGCACACACCCAACAAGTTTCAGAAGAATTAAAAATAGACGTGATAAGACAAACCCCCAACTTCTGCCAATAAAAGAATCAACTAAAATAACGTTTTCAAAATCACATAGATTCTAGCATGAAATTCTATATGAGCCAAGAAGCCCAAATTTGGGCGAAGATAAAACATGTCACCCAAAAATACTGCTTGAAATTGAAAAAACAAATTCAGAGACAAACATGCTTGAAAGGAAGAATTTTCTTATAATTCAGAGCATGCAAAACACACATGTTTATATATGGTTGCTGCTATATGTGATCACCTTTACTGCTGCACTAAGCAAGCTCCAGATACGGTGGTGTTCTAGCTTGTTGCTGACAATGGAGCAGACCAATGATTTGCATCAGAGTTCAGATACATATGGAGCTACAGAAAAGTGCAACACGAATCAGATAAAGGAATGCAGTTAGGCAGGCATGTTATGTATGCTGATAGATCGAAACGTATCGAAGATGTGATCAGCATGCAGTAGGTCATGGCTTCACGTAAGCAGCAAAAATTGAGGTGTTCAGATAATTAAGCTACTTTATAATAGTCTGCTTAATTCATCCAAAGCACAAAGCAAAATGAAAGGTGTAGTTTCTTATCTTGGCATGAATCACAATGAAACACGCTATTAAATAATTAGACTGTATACATCCTTTAGGTGTAGAAACCAGTTTAATCCATTATCTAAAATAAATAAATAAATAATCAACTGGACTGCCGCTTATTACGGACCATCGTTTCGCTACGGTATATTTGCAAACGAAAAGTAATTTGTGAATAAAACTTTTATATACGTGCTCTTAATGATCTAAAAGCAAAGGCTGAAAAATAAACTTCGATGAAAAAACCTCAAAATCAGCTCCAAATTTAAGGTTGAAAATTCAAATTTTAGCTAATTAATAAGCATATGTATAAGTAAAATATAATGCCTTTAGAGGAATAGTATTAGTAATATGCATCCTTTGGCTTTAAGTAACTCATCAACAGTAGAAATTTAATTGAATTGCCATATGGTCAACCCTCAGTGCAAAACCAGTATAGATAATGTGAGATCTTGGAACAGGTGTCCTTAGCTTTTGTTGTCAAAGTCCAAATAACAATGCTTCTCTAATTGGTATATGTCGAGCCTTTTGCTTTTTATCTATGCCTCCAAAGTTTCCTTGCTTAATCTGAAGTTTTGGACTGCTTAATGACAGGTTGCATGCACACTAATCCCACCTCTTTGTTGAGACTTTCTCTCCTCTATAAATGAACTCATGTGCCCTTAGGACAAGGCACATGTCTCTGAACCTCCTGAACCCTCTTGCTGTCTCATCCATGCAAAGTACAGTTCAGTTCAGTTCAGTTCAGTAATCTGCTACACATCTGAAACTGATTAGTGATTTCTTGTCTCCTGATCATCTGTAGTCTGTAGAACAATCCTGTTTTCTATTCTATTTTGTTTGTTGCATTTGGCATCATCATCTGGAAGAGAGAGTTATCTCCAGCTTAATTAATTTGATCGGTCTAGCCATGAAGAAGATGAGGAAGGTGGCCGAGTTCTTGAGGAAGGCGGTGGTGGCGCTGAGGGGGAAGGCCAGCGTGCTCAGGGCGAGGCTCCTCTTCCTCGCCTCGCTCCGCCGCAGGACGGCGGTGGTCGGAGCCATCTCGCACCACCTTCGCGCGCTCATGCCGGGCAACGCTCCGGCGCCGGCGCCGGACGGCGGCCGCCTCCCAGCGGCGGAGGACGACGACGAGCAGATGGCGCTCGACGACGTCGCTGGCCTCTCCGAGCTGGCCACCTTGTTCCAAGAAGTCGACGACGACGACGACGGCGCGCGCTACCCCGACTGGACACACTCGATGTTCGACGACGACGACGACGGCGAGGGCGGCGGCGAGGAGGCCGTGTCGGTGATGGAGGTGATCAGGAGGCGGCGGGAGGGGGACGGGGAGGAGTTCGACATGGAGGAGGAGATCGACCACGCCGCCGACATGTTCATACGGCGAGTCCGCCACCGCATGGCCGCCAACCGCCGGAGCTTTTAGTTAACCCGTCGGTGATGGTGGATTAGTCCATTAATTATTAATTACCCTGAAGATTTATCATGTCTGGAATTAATTTCAGCGTGTGATATTTTAGCTTTGATTTGTTTTTTTTTTTGCTTCAGATTGAATTAATTTGGCTGAGGCAAATTGATCAGTGGTGGGTCATCTACCACTGGCTCTAATCCCTGTTCTGATCTTTTGTTCTTACAAGAATAATGCTTTCTAATAGCGGATTGCAATCACCTACCAAGCATGCTTACTTCTCAAGTTACTATACTATAAATTACACCCATCCACTAAAATGATATATTATGGATGCAATTTACTCTTATAAAAATCATGTCTCATGCCTAAGGTGCAGTGATGTGGAATTCACCCCCACCCTGTCAGCTAGGAGATTTCCCTTCATGTCGGCACCTGCGGCGCCCCTGCAAAGCCCCTCATCCCTAACCCGCGAAGGCACGGATGATCTGACTGCAATCAAGGCCCTGTGACGTGGTCCCTTCTCCCCTTCCCTCCAACGCTAACCCAACCCAACTCTAACACAGAGCCTCAAGCACCAACGGTAGATGGGATTGCGGAAGGGAGAACAAGCACGATAGGGAAGAAGGAGCCTATCCTCTGACTTAACTGCTGTGCAGTTCAGTCACTGACATGTGGGCCATAGCAAAGTGGGACCCACATGTCAGTGACTCAACTGCATGTGCAGTTAAGTCAGAGGATCTGCTTCCCCTCGATCCATGTCCCCAGAGCTCGGTCCCGCCGCCAAAGCTCAATTTCCACCCTTGACCTTGATCCCGCTACCGGAGCTTGGTCCGTGCCATTGGAGCTCAATCCGCCACTGTCGAGCTTTAGCGCGCACCGCCAAGCTTGGTTCACGAAGGGGAAGAGGCAGAGGGAGGTGAGGAAGGCACTGAGGCAGGAGACGATGCCCACAGAAATGGAGAGAGAGGACAGGCAAGGGAAGGGAAAAAATAGGGTAGGATGACTGACACGTGGGTCTGCTAGTAGGTTAGGGTTATATATGTAGCTATTGTTTTTTTGTTATTACAGGGTTTAAAAAGTAAAAAGAAAATGTTGATCTTTTAATAAAAAATTATGGAAGGGCTAGCAGACAAGAAATTAAGGGTGGAACAAAAGAAGTATTAGTAGTGCCCTCAATTAAAACGCAAATACTAGAGAAGGACCTAATATCAAATACTCTCTCCGTATTTTAATGTATGACGCCGTTGATTTTTTTATAAATGTTTGACCTTTCATCTTATTCAAAAAATTTATGTAATTATAATTTATTTTATTGTGACTTGATTTATCATCAAATGTTCTTTAAGCATGACATAAGTATTTTTATATTTGCATAAATTTTTTGAATAAGACGAGTGGTCAAACGTTGGTTAAAAAGTCAACAGCATCATACATTAAAATATGGAAGGAGTAATTAGAAAGGGTGAGGCTTCAAATAATTAGCTAGCCACCATCTTATGGAGCTAGCCGAAAAACCCCTAGACGTTTATTAGTAGTGCGCTCAATTGCAGATGTACTATCTAGTTATCTGATCTTATGTTACATAGTATGTGGGGAGCACAATATAAATCCCCCGTTCGCCTTATATGAAATCAATTGTTGCTTAAATTTTAATTTCAAAACTTAATTTTGAAGATGATTTTAAAGTTTTTCATTGAAGTTTATATTTTAGCATTGGTTTCTAAATCGTTAAGGATATATATACAAAAGTTTTACTCACGAACTAATATTATTTTGTTAATACCCTGTATAACATATTTTCTGTATACGCGCAAACGTTGAGGGCCTAAATATCCTGCACTGGAAATAGCCTCACAAGTAATCCGGCTCATGAAATGAAAATATTACTTGAAACTTTGATACTACTTTGATGCTCGCATCCACTTTAGACAAGCTAAAAATAACACCGTTTACCGTTTACTAACACCACAACGACCAAGCACATCCATCCCCACAAAAACAAACCTCATCACCACACACACCCAAAAAAAAAACCAACAACAAAAACAACAAACACATGTCAAAAATTACACTCCCAATTAGGATATAAAAATGAGATTAGATAGATATAAACACATCATTTACCCATTCTAATTCTAAATAATCCCCCATCGTTTCTTCCTAGTTCCTCCCTCCCTCCATCTTCTTCATCTCCCTTCCTTCCTTCCTTTGGACACACCTCCCCATTTCCCTCCCTCTCTCCTCTTCCACGAGCTCACCTCTCCTCTCCTCTCCTCTCCTCTCCCGCGAGCGAGCGAGAGAGAGGCAGGCGGTGATGGATCTGGAGAGGTCGCCGCCGCCGCCGCCGCCCGAGGGAGGAGGAGGAGGAGGAGGAGGAGGCGCGTCGTGCTCCATCTGCCTGGATCCGGTGGTGGCCGGGGGCAGGTCCGTCGCCAGGCTGCAATGCGGGCACGAGTTCCACCTAGGTCAGATTCTCCCCCGCTCCCGCTCCCGCGCTCTCCCCGGGCACGCACGTTTCTGGACCGGATCTGTGGGAGAACGGGCGGGGTTGGCTCAATTCTCACGGAGGGTGGTTTGACGTAGATGCGAAATTTGAGTGGTTATTAGAATTTTTAATTGTAGCTAGGGTGATCGGTGTGGTTGAATTCGCGGAGAGCTGCAGATGTGATGTGTGGAGATGGAGTGGAATGAGAGGAAAAAAGAAAAAGAAAAACCATAAGGATTGCGGCATTAGTCAATCGGTAATTTTAATTTTAAGCATGGATTTGACGCGAATTTATGTTGGTTTACTTGTTCGATTCCTTGCCGATTGATGCGATTTGGCAGCATTGGTGCTGGGTCTATTACCTATAGTGGCATCTCACTTTCTGCTCAGCCAGATAGTCACTTACAGAAACACACAAAAGTAGCGAATTTGTAGCGGTAATACGAGATATTGTTCTAGCTGTAAGCTTTTGGTGCTTGCTGTTTCGATTTGATCTATGGCTTCTATGTGTTATCCATGGAGTGTATATAAAAATAAGGCCTCTTTAGTTTGCTGACCGTGGGCTGGACATCGCGTGCAATGCTTTCATATGGTGCAAGCAATGCTTGTATATAGGGAATAGAGGGACTAGAATAAGAAGGCACATATAGAATTCGGGCACCAGATTAGACCTTTTCAAGTTCCATGGCTAATCTCTTGCTTTTACCATATAATGCAACGCATACTAATGCATTGTTCTAGAATGAGCCTGATCATCTTCGAACTATGGTAACAACTACACACCATGCGGTCATGCAAATGAATATGTTATGCTCATACAATGTAGAGAATTGTTTGAATTTGTTGCCAGCTTTAAACAAATTCAACTTTTTCTGGAAGCATCATGTAATTTATATTTTGTGAAAAGCCACTTATAACTTATTTTGTTTTAAATTGCTGTTGTGTAGTTTTTTTTTTCAAATTCTGGCTTGGGATCGTTTATGAGCCAAGCATGTATTCATAGCCTCATCTGTGTACATCTTCATGCATGTATAAAAATAAACTTTGGCGCCCTTCACAGGTGGTTAAACTAACATTTTTTCCCTGTTAGACTGCATTGGATCGGCATTTAATGCAAAAGGGGCCATGCAATGCCCTAATTGTCGGAAGATTGAGAAAGGCCGCTGGCTTTACGCAAGTGGGCACCATCCATCTCCTGATATTGATATAGGTGGCTGGGTGACTGGTGAAACCTATGACATCACCTCAGATATTGTAAGTGTTCAGCTGAGAGTTAATATGCATATAGGGAAAAAAATTGGCATGCCAATTCCTGTTCAACCTTTGTAAATAATGACATTTCATTACTTTGCATATCATATGCTCTGGAGCTATTTGTCTTATGTCAATGAGTTGCATGCAGCCTTGCATCCAATTTACCCTTGCAAAAGACAGGTTTCAGTTTTGGTATGTAGACAAGTCTGACATCATTTCACCTGTCTCCTGTTTCTAATTATTCTGTTTCACAGCCATTTGGTTTTCAATGGTGCCCCTTTAGTGGATTCACCCAGCTAGCATCTGTATTTGAGTAAGCATGTCTCTTCTTATCTCAATATGTATGGGTCATTGTATATGCAATTAATGATTTACAAGCAAGAGCAGGTATTTGGTCATAGTACTAATTTTAGTAAGAGAATATTCTGTTTTGTCGTATGTCATGTTGGTAATTAATGTTGGTGTTAGTTTTTTAAATAGATTATATGGTACTGCCTTCTTGATTGCTGCACTCGTGTCAGTGAGCACTAAAATAAAGGCCAATGCCACAGGATGAGTTTAACTCATCTTCCTAAAACGAAGAAACCTAATAACGTAAATAGAAATGTTGGAGACCTGGCCATGATAAACTTTTATTATTAAAATATGTAGGTACGACTTGATTTTGCATTGATCATAAGTACTCCCTCCGTCCCATAATATAGAAACCTAGTGCTGGATGGGACGTATCCTAGTACTACAAATCTAAACACACCTCCTATCCAGATTCATACTACTAGGACGTCCCATTCATTACTAGGTTTCTATATTTTGGGTCAGGGCCTCAGGGGTAGTAGTTACCAAGTCATAAATAGTAACCTGTCAAAAAAAACTAAACAGGCCATTGATTTGATGACAACCTGCATGGTTGTACCCTGCACAAAATGACTACTGCACCAACCCTTGGGTCCTCGATGGTCTCATGTCTGAAGTGTCCAGTGTGATTGGGTAGAGCCAAGAAGGATTTATGGACTTAGTTGCCAAGCGAACTGGCCCATCTCAGTATTTTCCATGATGCACAACCCAGTAAAGGTGTTTTTCTTTCAATGCCTGTTTTACCACCCTCCGACCTTCCTCTTTCTGCTTCCATGGTAGCCACCTGCCCTGAACAGCTAAGGATATTTCCTGGTTGTTTGGAGCCAACCTGGATCCAGCTGGCCAAGCATGCCCCGAAGATGGTTCTACCAATGCTATACCCAAAGCAACAAGAACAACCATTTCACTATTCGTAAGGCAACTCAGTTGTTATTCACCAAGCACTTTTTTTTAATGGTCGTCTAGATTTTGTTGTCAGTTATTAGATTTTGGCTCTTGTTTTTTTAATGAAGTGGCAGCACAATATATATGTCAAGATGTTTGTCTTGTCCACTGTATTTGTGCATAGCCCTGGTTAGTTGTAATTTACTGGAGTTCCTGTGTTACAAGATCTATGTTGTTTGCTCTATGATGGATTGGAATTTGGAACCTCAGGTTCTTCTAAAAGAATTACGAGTATATTTTAAAATTTCAAGTTCTGAATTTAGTTGCCACTTTATTTGCAGGGAGGGTGAAGCTGAACAAACTTCTTGTAAGCATGTCTACTTGAACTTTTAACATCTTTGATTTCAATTTTCAATCTTGTTCATTGCTTTTTTGTTTTCCTTTCATGAAGATCATACAGTTGGAGATCATTCAAATGCTGCTAGCAGTTCTCTTGTTTGCCCTTACCTTGCACTGCGTGGTTTTCTCCATCCTGTGCATGTCCCTTCTAGTTCTAGTTCTGGTGCCGAAAACAGTTCATTTCATCGGCATCCAACTAGCTTGGAAGGCCATGCAGCCCACGATTTGAGCAATACACAAGTTTTCCATGCAACAGAGTCAAGAAATCATGACAATGACCACCGCTATATGAGCAATCTTCCTGTGTCAGGCATTCCTGATCATTCTGTAGCTCCATTTGGTATAGGATTGCCGAGATATGACAGCAGCAGCCAACAGAGAACAAGGCCATATGCACATCACCGTCCCCTAGTTCACAGGTATAAGATTATGGGAACATCATAAAACTTGTTATTTCTACATTCTAGACAGATTCAACCTATTATGTTCAGAAGTACAGATGCTTCAGTACATAGATAGTGTAGTGCCTGATGACCAATGATAACCTAAGTACTTGGCTACTTGCATATGTTATTTATAAGCACTGTAACCAGAATTGTTGGTCTGCCTGATGATTTCCGTAGGCTATTTCTAAGGATAAGAATATAGCTGATAGCTTGGTAATGCAACTCATGGCAATTTTTCTTTAAGGTTTTGCCATCTTAACCACCTTGCTGACCTCTTGTAATGTTTAACACTACAGGCCCACACCTCGCAACGGAAGCAATATGGTTACACCATTAGGGTCTGTGCCAGCTGTTATGGCTGAGACTAGAGGCCATGGTCATGGTGCGAGGGGACACATGTATCAACAGTCAATGCACTCATTGCAGAGCAGCCCATTCCCCCCTACATCTAGAAGGGTTAGGCCTAGGGCTTTAACAATTACATCTTTCATCGCAGCATCATCCTCAGCTGAGATTGGAGGACACCATGGCTTTGCTCCTCCTGTGAACAGGAGCAATTCCTCGGATGGTGAGGCTGTTTCTAGACCTGTTGATCGGCCATATGGGTGGGGCCAGGAGGGCTTTACCCCATTTCCCTGGATCCCAGCTGACGGTGAATCTCACTGGTGGGGCACCTTCAATCCCATGCAGAACCATACACATGGAGGCTTTACTCGAAGACCCACCGGGGAGCGAATGCCGCAGAGCCACCCAGATAGTGGATATCATTCCATGCATCCTCAGAGGATGCCGCCATTCTTGTAAAGGTTATCTTCCTCGTTGTTTGTGTATATCTCAAAATTAGTTGGAATTATTTGCTCCGAGAGAAAACGATGAATCAGATGCTATTGTTTCCAAGGAACTAAATGATGCTGCTTCTGTTGTCGGAATTTAGGGTTTTCTAGCTGGCAGCCCTAGGTTTGATTAAGGGTTGTGCTTTATCCTATCTCATTTGTTGCAATGGGCAGAAACTATTTGGAAACATAAGCTTAAACTGTACCAAGCAGCGATTGTTGCCATTGAACATAGTTGTGATGCCATTGATGCAGGTGTTTCTCTCAAATCGTATGTGTCTGGATGTAGCTGTCCGGTGGCTGGTTTTCGTATGTATAGTAAGTTGCTCTGCTAGTGCTGCGTAAAATTGTTTGGTGATCTATTCCTCTGCACTTCATTTTTGTGGTGCTGGAGCTGCATCCTGCAACATGTTTGACTGTGCAATGCAATCTGATGCAATTATTGGAGAGATTTTGCGCAAATGAACTCTTGGTGGCTAAATAACTACAAAAATTTTCACAATTTGACCCTTTGCAAAAACTATTTTTACAAATGAACGTCACTAAAACTTATTTCAAAAATAACCCTTGGCGCTGAACTTAGACACCTCAGCGCCAAATAGCATGGCGCTGAATATGACATGGCGCTGAGGTGTCTAAGTTCAGCGCCAGGTGATTTGGCGCTGACCAAAAGAGTCATTTTTGAAATAAGTTTTGGCAGCGGTTTATTTGTAAAAAAAGTTTTTGCAAAGGGTCAAATTGTGAAAATTTCAGAAATAACTACATACTAGTTGTGTGGCACCTTTTTGGGGGAGCTCGACATGTCAATATTGGCTTATAAAATGGTGATGGCATGCTGAAATAACAACTGATTAAGCTACCTCAATACATTGAGTGGTAAATATTTGTTACCAACAATCGCAACCCAAATTTGCCCAGTGATAGAGGCAATATATGACACTCTTTTATATGCAGCTTCATTGTTTCAGTTTTATTGGTTGTCTCCAAAGAGAGGCTAAATCATTTCATCAGCTGATGGAAGGCACCTGCACAATTTGATGATTCGTAGGCTACGAATAAGGAAGAGTCCTGGAATTGAACTTGTATGCAGAGGGGAGCAATCCAATTATTCTAAGGAACAGTAGCGGGAAACTATTCTAATCCCTCGAGGGGATGTTCCCTCGTTTGCTCAAAAACCATCTAAACGGTTATGAAAAATTCTGGAAAAATTTGACAACATTCATACAACACATATATACAACTCCACAAAATCTTAAGTCCAAACTCAACTCACACGTTGAGATATAAAAAAGACAAATTCAGCGTATGAATAGTAGCGTACTGTTTATATCTAAATTTGTCTTTTTTTTTTCTCGATGTGTAGATCGAATTTGAACATGAATTTTGATGGACTAGTAGGTACCATTATACTCTACATTGTCATTTTTTTTTCAGAATTTTTCACAACTATTTGCATCGAATTTAGAAGAAAAAGGTATACAACGGAATATCCCTTCGAGGGACTAGAATTCACTCCCGACAGTAGCAGATTCATTAGTTGCTCAAACTATTGAATTGAGGAAGCGAGCAGTAGCCAGTAGGGAGATGAACAGCTAGGAGTTTGTAAGATACATGATGAATTAGAAGATAGGAGTTTGTAAGATACATGATGAATCGGAAGAACAACACAGTGATGAGGACATCACTTTGTCGGATACGCTCATAACTTCACACGCTCCAATGATAATTTCAAGTCCAAGTCTAATTCGGTCTCCGGAGACAGCACTGACTTCAAACGGACCTAGCGCCTTCATGCCAACTCCGATTTGGGTGATCTTGAACTTCGTGGAAAGCTTATCTTGCTACCTTTCAAACGCATCCGGTCTCGTGTCCAAATTCATCTTGAGTCAACGGGAATCGCCAAAATAAGACAGTACTGTTACTGAAACCGAACTTGGGCCTTGGGCCTTGTAATAGACTAGGCCTGTCGGTGACATGGGACCGGGAGTATCGTGACTTAGAGACTTGAGGCAGAAACGATCACCCACGTGGCCTAGCCCCCTCGGGGGGGATCGGGCCCGAGGGTGATACGGCCGCCCTTCTCTTTGTCTCCTCGAGGGGTCGGACCGCTCCCGTCTCGGCCCCGAGGGCCGAGGCGCCCCGACCCCTTGTGGGTTTTGCGCCGCGTATATGGGGTAGGTGAGCATAGCGGGGCTCACCTAACCACATTTATTGCGGTTTGGACGAGCGCGTCACGCCGCATGTAACGCAGTGCAGCGCGCTCGTTTATCCGGTCAGTGACCAGTCACAGACCGATCAGATCGTGGGTTAGGTGGCGACAGGCGGTCTGACGCACGCCTCGCCCCATCCCGTCAGGACGAGAGCCTCCAAGCACTCGTCCCTAGCCGGAGCCGGCGTGTTAGCTCCTGGAGATGGCACGTTGGTTCCGGTCAGATATATGCCAGGCTTCATCCTAACCATTACAGGCAAGATATTGTATGAAGAAGGGCGAACATGTAGATTGTTAAACTGACACGTGGTGGACAAGAATGACCGATTTGTGACCGGTCTGACAATGGTCATGTCGTCAGCAGACAGCCATGTTCCCACGTCGCGCCTGCTTCCGGCGGAAGTGGAGGTAGGTATGGGCCGTCCCATCAGAAGGTCATTCGGACGGCAACCATACAAGTCTCCGTCTGTTTATGAATAAAATAGGATAAGTCCCCACAAAAAAGAGAGAGATGGTGCATGTGGTATCCCCTTGAGGTATAAAAGGAGGACCTTGCCCACTTAGAAAAGGGGGATTTGAAAAAAGAAAGGAAAAAACGATCCCAGAACGATCGGGGGCTGGCTCGCACTTTGTAGCTTCTTCATACACAGATCCACCAAAACACAGGAGTAGGGTATTACGCTTCTCAGCGGCCCGAACCTGTATACGTCGCCCGTGTCTTGTGTGTTTCCACTCTTGCGAACTTTCCACAGGCTAGGAGCTTAGAACCTCACCCAGGGCCCCCGGCCGAACCGGCAAAGGGAGGCCTGCGCGGTCTCCCGGTGAGGAGCCCCAAGCTCCGTCATCTGGAGTGCCAGGTAGGGGGTTCTGCGTGTGTTCTTCTAAGCTCTCGCACTCTTTCGTGTGCGCCAAGCTTTTCCTGTTCAGCCCAATGGCTGAACAAGCAAAGGCGCACAACCTCTCTCCGAGTGTTAGCGGTGACGAAGGGGAGCCGAACCCACGCCGTCGAGCTCGTACTCCACCGCCCCCTCCACGCCAAAGTCCTAGGCGGGAGGAGGCGCTCGAGAGGGTCGAAGGATCCGCGACTTCGACATCCACGGGTGATGGGGAAGGGCGGCGAGATGGGGAGCGTCGCCTCCTCGTCTACGGCGACGGCAGCACGCCCTAGGGCGCGCTCCAAGCTGCGGGCGCGCTCCTACGTCACCCGCCCATTGTCCCTGACCCGGAGTCTCCAGCCCAACGTTGGCTGGACGACGTGGCCAACTTGGTCATGACGGCACGGCAGCGCCTAGGTGCTGGTGGGCGGTCCTCCGCCACCAAGACCTCTGGCGCTGCTACCACCGGCTCCGTGTCGTCAAGGCGGAGGGCGCGGCGAGCGGCGGCGGTTGCTCGCCATTCGGCCGCCACTCCTTCGTCAACGCCTCCGACCCAGGAAGATCTGCGTGGGGGGCCGGATGCCCGCATCAGTATCGAGCGCCGGCGTAATGGCCGACGTGCTGCCCACGCAACGGAGGGCGCCTCCTCGTCCGGAGTGTCACATCAACACGGACGCGGGGATCAGCCCTCCGTGCCCCCGGTTGGTGGTGTCGGCTGTAGAGCCTTTGTGGCGAGCCTTCGGAACGTCCGTTGGCCCCCAAGGTTCCAGCCCACCATCGCCGAAAAATATGACGGGAGCGTCAACCCCGCCGAGTTTCTCCAGGTCTACACGACCGGGATCGAGGCCGCCGGGGGTGACGACAGGGTCATGGCGAATTTCTTTCCCATGGCCCTGAAGGGACAGGCACGGGGTTGGCTAATGAACTTGCCACCCGCGTCCGTCCACTCTTGGGAGGATTTGTGCCAACAGTTCACCATGAACTTTCAAGGCACATATCCGCGCCCAGGTGAAGAAGCGGACTTACATGCAGTCCAGCGAAGGGATGATGAGTCACTTCGCTCATACATTCAGCGGTTCTGTCAAGTCCGCAACACCATACCATGCATCCCTGCACACGCGGTGATCTACGCGTTCAGGGGGGGGTGTGCGGCACAACCGCATGCTTGAAAAGATCGCCTCCAAAGAGCCCCAGACTACCGCGGAGCTTTTTCAGCTCGCGGACCGAGTGGCTCGTAAGGAAGAGGCATGGACCTGGAACCCCTCCGGTTCCGGTGTGGCAGCTTCGGCCGCCCCCGGATCTGATGCTCGGACAGGGCGGCGTGACAGGAGGAGGAAGAAGAGGTCAGCCCATTCCGACGACGAGGGTCATGTCCTCGCCGTCGAGGGCGCTTCGCGGGCCACCCGAAAGGGGAGGCCTGCGAGCGACAAAAAGGAGGCCGGCGCTCCCAGTAGGGAGCGCCCAACCGGCAAGTGGTGCATCGTCCACAACACCTCCCTTCACGACCTCGCGGACTGCCGCGCAGTCAAAAGTTTGGCTGAGCGGACGAGGAAGTGGGAGGAGGAGAGAAGGCAGGAGCGCCGAGAGGGCAAGTCCCCGGCGGTTCCTTCCGGCAATCGGCGAAGTGAGGCTAAGCAGAAGGCCCCCGCCGAGGACATCGATGACGGCGATGATGACCTAGGTTTCCAAGAGCCTGGGGCCACCATTGCCACTGTCGATGGGGGAGCGTGTGCTCACGTTTCTCGCCGGAGCCTCAAGGCCATGAAGCGAGAGCTTCTGGCCGCGGCCCCTACTCATGAGGCGACGCGCCGGGCGCGGTGGTCGGAGGTTGCCCTCACCTTCGACCAGACCGACCACCCACCGTGCGTTGCCCGGGGAGGACAGATCGCAATGGTGGTTTCCCCCACTGTTTGCAACGTGAAGCTGGGGCGTGTCCTCATTGATGGAGGAGCAGCCCTCAACATCCTTTCCCCCGCAGCCTTTGACGCCATCAAGGCCCCGGGGATGGTGCTCCGGCCGTCCCAGCCGATTATCGGTGTGACGCCGGGGCACACTTGGCCGCTAGGTCATATCAACCTCCCGGTCACCTTCGGTGGATCCGCCAACTTCCGCACGGAGCGGGTGAACTTTGATGTGGCGGACCTCAGTCTGCCCTACAACGCGGTCTTAGGGAGGCCCGCGTTGG